AGGCGGGCCTGGGCCGTATGCCAGCAGTTGAAGGAGCTGTCACTTCGCTGATTGGGTCACCAGAAGAAGCCCTGGGTCTTGATGTGAGGTGCCCGCGGAGTCAATGTCGGGTCACAGATGACCTCCTGTGTAAAACATACAATGCAGGATCACATGCTGGCCGCCTTGGAAACACCCTGGCGTACCTCATGTTTGCCCTTTCTGCATCTGTTCAGGATGCTGGTAGTGCTACTGCGGCAGTTGGTTTTAGCAACGCAGCTTTGCAGACCTTTGCCTGATGACCAGAGAGCTTGGCCGTGTCATGTCTTTCCTTGTCCAAGTTCATAGACAGGTCTGGCTTGCTTGTCTCCTCTAACCGTCGGATATTTTCCCCCATCAGCAGCTGCTTTCTTGGTTGCTCATACTGTATATCTATGGGTGGTTGCCACCCTTACCAATGGCTACAGGCTCCAGGTACGACGATGGGTGGTTTTTGCCCCATTTAGACCTCAGAGGACACAATGGCTGACACAATGACATCAGTCATTCATGTCGTGCCCTTAGGTTTGCTACTTCTGCATCCTTTGCAGCGGTGGCTCAATAGCTTTCACCTAGACGCCAGGCTGCACAGACATCACAGGCTCATGGTGACGAGGATGCGCCTTCGTGCCCTAGCTCCTTGGCGAGACTGGACCCTTTTGTACAGTGGTGTTCCAATGGGTTTGGTGGTGAGTCAAAGGGAAGTGGTCTCCACAGATGCCAGCCCCATTGTCTGGGGTGCCGTGTGGCAACACAGAGCATTTTGGGATCTCTGGGATCCAAGGGCTGTGCACAGATCGAGCTGCAGGCTGTGCAGATGGTCCTCAGGTGCCATGTGCAAAGGCACTAGGAGGCACTAGGTTGGCACATCTCCTGATGGTATCCAGGGATCTCCTGGAATGGTTTGTCTCCTGGTCTGTCCACCCTGCACGCAGCATATCTGCCAGGATGGCGGAAACAGGTTGGGACTCTATCCCCCCAGACATCTGCTCCAGGAGAGTGGTCTCATGATCTGGAACTAAGTGTGGCCATGGTTCCCACTGCTTTGGAATCTGTGTCGCCTTACTCCACGGCGTCTTCCAGCAAAGAGGGATCTGCTGTCTCAGTTTGGGGGACAAATATGGCACCCCAACCCTCAACATCTCCAGCTATGGGCATGGCCCAGGGAGGCTGACTTGGTGTTCAGGCCCTATCAGACACACCATATTGAGTGCTAGGGTGCCCTCCACTCGGCTGCAGTATGATAAAAGATGCCGTCTCTTTTGTCATTGGTGCTCTGCCTGCAAAAAAACCCAGTTTCCTGCTCGGTGCCCACTATTCTGGAGTTACTCCAGTCTCTTCTTGATAAGGGCCGCTCTCCTTCGACCCTTAAGGTGTATGTTGCAGTGATCTCATGTCATCACATATCTGTTGATGACACTACAGTAGGGCGCCATGAACTGGTGTCTCTTTTTCTGCGCGTTGCTCGTAGGTTTCACCCGCAGCCGCTTTCACGAGTGCCAGATTGGGAACTGCCATTGGTTCTCGCCGCTCTGTGCCAGTCAGTGTGAGGGCACATTCCACCAGGACCATTTCCGCTTCCTCTGTGGCTTTGAGAGGGGTCCCGCTGGAAGCAATATGTGTTGCTGCTTCATGGGCTTCCACGACCACCTTCACAAGGTTCTACAGTGTCAATGTGGCTGCCCCTCATCCCCTGGGTCAGGTTCTTTTACAAGGTTCTGCTGGGCCTTCTCAGTGAGGTATGTGCTCAGGATTCCTTGTGACATCATTGGCATTAGTCCAGTGGTTTCAGCACCGCCCTCTGGTGGTCAGTAGGGATGAAATAGAAAGAAAGTTACGTATGTAACTACGGTTCTATGAATCCCGCGTGACCACCAGAGCCACTCTGTCACTCAGAATCCTTGCTTTAAGAGAAGATTCTGTAGGAACAGAGGCAAGGATGAGACCAGGCTATGGAGCTTCTGAGTGGTCATCTGGTGTCACAGGTGTGACCCTGTTGGTATAATTACTGGAACTGCGCATGCCTGAAGGGAACATTTAGGGCTTTCAGCACGACTCTTCCAGATTGTATAGGTATATTTTAGGTTTTAGCTTATAGCAAAGCGCAGCCTTACGTCTTTGTTCCACTTATGGACCAGCAGGATGGAGGAGAGGAAGGGAACTCTTGACTCCCTAATGATTTGTAGATAGTCACCATGGAAACCTGGCCTGTTTAACAGGACCAACATTAACACCATCTCCTAGTATTACAGAAAAATGAATGCTTCCACCAGTGAATGGGTTGATAGACCTACATGGACTTGATGGACTCAGTCTGAACCAAGTCTCAGGAAACTTTAGGCTGAGATGATCCCTGATCGTCTCCTTGGTAACCTGTTCCCTCCTGCTGTAGTCTGTGTGTTGTCATGGAGAAGTTGTTCCTCAGCTGATCATCAGTTATTGGTCGTTTGTCCATCAGGGGGTCGTTCCTGACTAAGAAGCAGGACCAGGCAGCCAGGAAGATCATGAGGTTCCTGCGGCGCTGCAGACACAGGTAAGGGAGGGGCAGTGAGGAGACTCTTCCTCCTCAGCATCACTTCCTGCTTCTCATGTCTGATGTTCTGCAGGATTAAGGAGCTGAAACAGACGAGGGAGCTGGAGAGGAGAGGACTGACCACATAGAGCCTCTAGAGAGAGACGACAGGAGGACAGAGGGATGCAGGAGGGACAGAGGACAGACAGGGGATGATGGACAGATGGACTCAGAGATGTCTCTCCTTCCTCCAACTCATAATCCCTCTGTGGACTGTTTGTCTGCAGCTTGATAAGCTCCGCCCACTAAGTTGGTGCTCCTCCTCCTCCTCCAAGAGGTGAATCCATCTGCTCTCTGACTGTAGAACCAGGACCACCTGCTGGCTGGAGGCTCTCAGAGAGCAGATGGTCCATCAGATTAACTCCTGGCTCCACGTCTGGATTCCTTTAGTGACGTTTCTAATGACAGGCTGCTGAGCTCCAATCAGAGTTCCAGGAAAAATCTGCATGGCTCCACCAGGCCTCCCAGTCTGTCTGGATCAGTGAGAGGCTGGGAGGCTGAGCAGACCAGCTCAGATCCAGACAGAACCAACGGTCTGAATGTTTCAGTGGAGCTCAGAGATCTTCTCTATGGATCAAGAAGTGGAGAAACACGGAGAAGCAGAGATGTTCTGAGGATGGACACCTTGGATCTATTGCAGCATGAACTGTTGTCAGCGTGGGAAGGGTTGTTTGTTTGTGTGTTTGCAGCACTGACTGAAGTCTTAACCCCCTCCTCAGTTGGACCTGAAATCTAAATGTTCCTTTCCTCAGCTTTGCAGGAGTTTGTGTCTGAAAACCCTGAGATATTTGGTTCTGACAATAAATCAGCCGTTTACTCTTCATCTGTTTATTTCTAAAGCAGAAATGAACAATACATGCTTTACACAGACTGTTTATTCAGATCGTTTGGTAAAATTAAGGTTGAAAAGTTTCTATCAAGGAAAAACAGCTAATTGCATCCAGTCATTGACTTCGAGGACAGGCTCCTCCTGAATATACATCCATTATTATTAATATTCATCAGAACTCTGCTTATTTTACTTATCTTATTGATAAAGAATCCCATAAAATCATTGCTGCTAAGAGCAGGTGGAATGGACGGTTCAACAGAGCTATGGCTCTGGGTGAGTTTGGCAACTGTATTAAAAAGAAATCTAGGATTATTCTTATTCTCCTCTATTAATGAGGAGAAGTATGCTGCTCTTGCTTTACAAAGGGTCCTCTTATACAGCAGTAAACTATTTTTCCAGACTAGGAAGGATTCCAGCAGGACTGTGGAGCGATATTTTCTCTCCAGTTTCCTAGCATTTTGCTTCAAAGTGCGCAGCTCGGCATTAAACCAAGGAGCCAGTAAAGGGAATAAACTAAGCTTTGAAGTGAAACAGATTCTTTAAAATTTGAATCTGATAATGATCTGCTAAAGTGAAACTTTTAGGGGGAGGAGAACTCTGTTAAAGTAATCCTGAAGGTTATTAGAAAGTGGTCAGAGAGGACAGGGTTGTGAGGAAATCCTGTTATTTCTTCACATTCTATGCCGTATGTCAGCACAAGATCCAAAGTATGAAGATGAGAATGTGTGGGACTATTCACATTTTGAACAAAGCCAATAGTGTCTAAGATAGCATTAAAGGCTGCTCTTAAGCTATCGCCTTCAATGTCAGCATGGATGTTAAAATCTCCCACTATGATGACCCTGTCAGTATTTAATACCTTCTGGGGATGTGAAAATTTAAATAGCTTGAAGGAGTATCCTCATTTATGCTCACATAATCCTCTTGCTGCAGCCAGGTTGCTGTAAGGCAAAACAAGTCAATGTGATTATCACAAATCAAGTCATTAACTTTTAGAGGAAAGAAATCCTTTATGTTGAAAAGACCACATTTAATTTTTTTTACTTTTTCCCCAATTGGAGTTATTTTTATTTTAGTTAAAGCTACAGTGTGTAATTTTTAGCGACATCTAACGTCCAGACTGCAGACTGCAGCAACATGAACATCTCCCCCCCACCGCTTCTCCCCCCCAACAGTACGGCGAGCGTTACGGGACAAAATGTCTTCCACGACGTCCGCATCACCTACCTTCTCAAGTGATGAGGTTTGTTTACATAGATAATCTTAATACTGCCATCTATTGTTCAGTACCGTCTCAGTTCATCTCTCCCAACTTGCCGTAGTTACTTTCGAGCGTAATGGGAGATCTCGCAATCGCTAGTTTGTTGGCTCTGCGCTGCCGTAGCGCAAAGATGTCTGCCTCCATGGCTGCGAGACCCCGCTCCTATGTAATTATAAATAACGAATTCTAAGGCGACGCAAATATTAAGGTTAAGAGGCTGAGCTCGTAGATGATGATAAATAACATAGTTATGTATAATATATTACATTTCTGACTGTATGTCCCTGTAATTATTACACACTGCCTGAAGGGTTATCATGATTTACTCCTTTGGGAATATTTGCTAATTTATTAGATTTTGGTCGTGGGCAAGACACTGTCTGGATGGAGTAAAGAGTGGGTAACAGTAGAGAAGCTGCAGAGATGCGTGTTAAACTACAACTCTGCTTCCTGGGGTCTGTTTCATTAAATAATAATTTAATTACGCAACTTTAAATTGATCTGGCCTAAAGTCTGGAACTCTAAGCTGCTATGAATTAGTTCAATGAACTCTAAGAAGGTCCACTCAGAGTTGAACACGAGCGTAACAAGTATGAAAAACCAATAACCGTGGAGTGCTGATTTAACAAATCATGACAACAGGCAACAGAAGGGCCTATTTCACCCCACTGTAACTGGAGATTTTAATGTAGAAATACTATAAACAATAGAGACAGAGAAACAGTGCTACAGCTTCAAAGGAGAGGAAGATGGAGAAGGACAAGATTGTTGCTCGAATGAATGCGTAAGTTTATATGAAGTGGGCTATGGCAGACTGTTTTAACATTTATTAAAATCACTCTCCTCTCTGTTGTTCCATTTGTAGACCACTAAAATAAGATTCTTCCTGATCAAAATCACACTCCTAGACTAAACTGTAATTATTCATATTCTAAATTAAATTTTTGTAGCAGAAACTGAATTTTAGAAAGTTAAAAAAAAATCTAAATTATACCAGTAAAGATAAAGTTTTATATATCTAGAAATGTTTACACATTTTAAGTGACCATTTTAACATTTTATCAGCTTGACTGTATATGCATTCATATCTGAAAAACATTTCTTCACAGTCAAAATGATACAAATGATTGCCAGTAACAATAGGAATATGGAAATCTGAAATTAATTAGACATTATTTGGACTTTCATATATTGTTTATGAAAACACTATTGGCTGTATTAGAAAAACAATTGTAAGAGTGATTCGAGCTCTAATCATGGTCAAACAGATAATTCTGCACATACATGGAATAAATTCACAACTTTCATCAAAATACAAGAGTTTAACAAAAAATGATCAAATTAGCTTTTCACAAATTTAGAGAAATTGGAATGTTTTCAGACCAATTCTCAATGCAAATCCATGAGGTAAATAAAGAATTATTTGGCCAAATAATGTTTTATTGAGTAATTTGCTTAATCAAGAAACAATAACCTTTAGTTAATGCAGGCATCCCCAAACTCGGTCCTCAAGGCCCCCTGTCCTGCAGGTTTTAGAGGTTTCTCTGCTTCAGCACAGCTGGTTATAATGATTGCAGTAGACCAAAAAACTGTTAATCAGCTTTCAATTAAAATCAGCTGTGCTGGAGCAAGGAAACCTCTAAAACCTGCAGGACAGGGGGCCTTGAGGACCGAGTTTGGGGATGCCTGAGTTAATGATTCTTTACCTGCGGTGTGTTATGGTCCTTGGGGCGTTCCGTACCAGAGGCGGGTTGTGTACATGTATGGTTCCCGGCAAAGGACAATTGAGTAAATATGGCTGCTGGCTAAAGACAAGCTGTTGTCGGAGTCCTTCATTAATGGTTTACAAATTACTACATGGTGTCAGAAGTGGGATCTCTTCAACGTATGCTGCAAAAGGGACAAGGCTTTTCAAGTGAATATGTTGATATATATACATAAGATATCCTTAATGCGTCAGCGCTAACGTCTGCAGAAAAGTTCAACTACAAAAAAGTAAAAGAGTGCTTTGATGAACATTTTATTGGAGAACGGCGAAACGGCCAAGAGCTTTATCACCGTGGTTCACAAACAAGCGGATTATTGTAAATTCGGGGCTATCAGAGATGAACTGATCTGGGATCGCATAGTTGTCGGAATAAGAGATGCCACATTCTCCGAGAAGTTGCAGATGGATGCAAAACTGACCCTGACTACAGCCGTAACACGGGTCAGACAGAGTGAAACTGTGACACAACAACAGGGTTGGCTCCGCATTGTGAGTGGCCCTGTATCCATTAAGGAGCCCAGTGAAGAGATGCATGCGCTTTCACTCGTATGCAAGACAGAAGGTAGTGCACAACAGCGACTGAAACCAAACAGGTATGCAACGTTGTCCACCTGTTATAAATGTGGGAGGGCCCCATCACACAATTGGAAAGACTGTCCTGCCAAAAAGGCTGAATGCAGGAAATGTCACAAACGAGGACACTTTGCCGCTGTCTGCAAGTCTAAGCAGCATGTACACGAGATGCAGGGAAGGGGAAGTCTATCAGGACAGTCTGTTCTTAGGTGAGGTGAAGTCAGACAGAAATGGCTGGTACTCGGACATCAAACTAAATGGGGTGGTAGTTTCCTTTAAACTACGTACAGGGGAAGCATTGACCGCCATTCCTACCAGTCTGTATAGCTACAGAAAACAAGGCCCTCTATTGCACACCCACAAAAAATAAACACTTGAATATATGGATAAAAAAATCATAATAATAACAATAGGGACGCCTCTATTCCAAACTAATAAAATAATAGAACGTAAGGATAAAATAACTAAAGAGCCAGGGAGGTAAAAGAATTAAAAAGGATGGGTTCAGGAAAGAGTATAGAGAAGATCATAAAGGGGATGAAAAGTTTGTGTCAGATTGATCCAAGTGATTTAAAATACTTGTAGAAGTGGAAGGAAAAGTATGAAATAGATGGTGTGTGGAATAGATCAATGGAGAAATGTTGTGTGTCGGCTAGAAACAAGCACTAGTGCAAAAATAGATAAATAAAAAATAAATATATAGATAGATAAATAAATGAGCTCCAAATGGCAAGGTGTTGGTATAATGCGCGCGCAAAGTAGATACAATGTTATTATTAGAAATTAAATAAATAGATCTAATGTTGTGTTGTCTGTCTTTTAATATTATGTGTTTCTGTCTTTAAAGTTATGTTTGTGGGTCTTTTAAGTTGTTTGTGCGTCCAAAAGATAATGAAACACCGTTTAGAGGGAGCAGTGACTGCAGCACTGATCCAGCTGACAGCCTTCCTAATGTGCCCGCATGGTCTCCAACAATATTAAATTCGAAGCCATAAAAATACATTAAAAATAAATAACCCCGCTACAAAATTACTTTAGTCATGCAAGCTACATACAGGGGGAAAAAATACAGGGGTTAAATAAGTGGATTGTGCAAGCTAAACATAGAAAAAGCTATGAAGTGCAGTTAATTGTGGACCCAGTGGAGGTCCTGGATCTACAGCAAATTTTCTTTTCTTTATTGAACACCACAGAAAAACCATACTGGCATTTAAACATACAACGGGTAAAAGTAACATTTTTGTGTGACACCGAATAAATCTGTCCTGAGGGATAAATTACCTCAGATTAAGGTGGGACCAAAATGGATCACAGTAGTCTCTGCTGATGGGAGAATGGTGGTTCAGCGCATTTCTGAAAAACAATTGGTCACTGATGAAGAGGGATTCACAGTGGAAGCTGATTTTGTGTTAAGCCCAGACTGTCCAGTTAATTTATTAGGCA